TCACTTACTTTCCAACGTAATGTATTTAACACAGTAAAGGTATTTTATGATGTACTTCATCTTGGTCATAATTTTTCACATTAAAGTAGAAAGTAAACTGCAGTACATTAGTAAGCAATAGCCCAACTAAACCAGTGTTCACTCATATAATAAATAAATCAAGAACTTTGGTTTTATGTTAGCAAGCCTGCATTTCTAACATCAAGTGTTAATATTACAGTTCTAAGTGAATGTAGTATTGCTGAAACTGTTCAAGTATGCCCTGCATTTTTACAATAATTTCTTAAATTACAGTTTGAAAAAGGCAATTCTAATAAATTAAAATTAAACAATTACATTTATAATTGTGCATGCAAAGGCTCACATGCATGCTAGGACAGCAGTGTTTGAAGTCAAGATTAATATTCTGGTAATTGTTAATTAAAAATATATCTGTCAGCAGTAAACTACTATGACTGCTCATATCATAGGTATATAGTGCATGTAGTATGTTATGTATTACTGCACTACTGGCATGGCTGCCAGGTACAAACAAGGCAAGCAGAATGAATGGTTTTCCACGATCCAAGCGAGAGGTCAATAGCTTAGGAGCCCAGGACAATTCTTTCTGAAAAGACTATCTGTAGCTTTTTGAGATTCATAGTCTTAAATATTATTCCAGAAATCATTTTCAAGTGCATTGACTTTCGACTCAAACCTCCATCCTTGCACAAATACTTAAGAATTGCTTGGAGATGTGGCATTGCCCAGCTCCATGGGTTTAATAGCTGTAAGTTTTGCATCTTAAACAGAAAACGGCCTTAACACTTAGGATTGTGAGATAACACTGGAAAAAGTGAACTCTTTTTTGACCAGTTGAACAACCACTAGTAAGTAACACTCTTTTTCCCCAAAAGAGCTTTCTAAGCATTCTACTAGTTAATTATATAACACCAGCCTTGGTGATGTTAAAACTAGTCAGTGCTATGTCACAGCTGATGAATAAATCCTGCACTCTAGGGTAGAGGAAAAGTAAAATATAATTTTCTTCTTCAGCAATGGAAAGTATCATTTTAGCGTTACAGGGAAGCTGAATCAGTCTCTTCCTTTCCTGAAGTACTGATCAAGGCATGAGGTCACCAGAGGCAATGGCAGTTATAGTTCTAAGAACAAAAGAATATGTTACATTTACATATTCCAAACTAAAAGTTTTCTAGAGAAAAAGAACACTTTGCAGCTTTATGCAAAGATTTATTTACGACTACTCTTTGGAAGGAAGGAAACTCCACAGGCTCTCCACCCAATCCTTTTTTCTTTCTAAACAGGAAGCTCTTTATATTCCCACCCCTTTTACACTCTCTACCAGAATTGACTGGACTGTGCTGTAAACGGTGATGCAGAAGGGAGATTTACAGTATAATCTGTCCATTACAGTCTCTTCCTTTTGCACAAACAATATACTGTGGAAACAGGTGCACTTCAAACCCACTAAGCAAACCAGTACCTCCTGGCAATGAAACCTGCACTTCATAAACAAGAGACAACTGTATATTTTTCAGTTAAGCTATAAACTAATACATTTCAATTAAAAAGTCAATTGTAGCACTGTATTCTGAGGCCAGTTAACAAAACGTGATTTTTAAAAAAAATTATTATTATTTTTTTTCCTGGTATTTTCCATTTGCTTTTACCATTGTTTGCTTTAGATTATAGCCAAGCTGCAGTAAAATGTCAGATGCATTTTTATAGGTTACTTTCAGGCTAGTTCACGATCTTCTGTTTTATTAGCTGGTATTTAAGCTGACCAGTTAGCTCCACTGAGACATCCTTTTCTTCTGTTCTTATTCTTTAAACAAAATTTTTTGCACCACTCATTTTTTCTACAAAAGTTATTTTCATTAATTTTTGTCACCATTTGCCCCGTCAAAATATTAACTGATCCTCCCAGCCTGCTCATCTTGTTTTACCCTTCTGAATCTCTTCTATGTTTTCTCCATAACAGTGGTTATAGTTGCATTTGATATTCTGTAGTAAGCCCCAGTAGGACCCAATAAGATGCTGCTAATTTCTGCAGATTTAAATGCTTGTCCTAGTTTATCTTTCTTTACTGTTGTACATTCTAGAGTATTTCTACTGGGTTGTACTTTGCCACGTAACTGCTTCTTTTGGGTTGCTATTCCAACAGACACGTTTTGTTATCAATTTCAGTAACAAATCTATTTTGAAGAATTAAACTACTTAAAAGCAATGATTTACAAAAAAAAAACAAAAAACAAAAAAAACCCCAAAAACAAACAAACAAAAAAAACATCTTGAGGCTAGGATGATTTATTTTGCATTTAAGTAGCACATGGTACAGAATTTCAGTGTACCACTCCTCCACAGTCCCTTCTGTACATGTTAGAGCATATCTTTAAGAAAAATGCCATCCTGATTCAAAGACTTACAAACAAAAATCTCCACAACCATGAATGGATTCTTTTTACTGGTTAGAGTTACTTTCACTGTTTGAATCAAGAATTGCAATAGCAAATCAAACATAAGGTGCTCTAAATCTGCAGCCTACTACTGAGAGAGAAAGCTTGAAAATAATGCATACTCTGCTACTTTGTTACTTGTTTTCTTCCTAGAATTACAGAATATCCTGATTTGAAAGGGATTCTCCTTTAATTAAGAAGATGCTAGGATGTATTTATATTGAGTTTATGAACAATGATTTTGAACATTTTCATACTCATGAAACACAAAGTTTCCAATTGTATTTATCTGCTTAACGCATATATGGAGTTCCTGAACCTATAGGGTTTAGGTAGGAAGGGACCTTAAAGCCTATTTAGTCCCAATCCCGCAGCAATGGTCTGGTTGCCACCCATCTGATCAGGATGCTTGGGACCCCATCCCACCTGGTCTTGAACACTTCCAGAGATGGGGTGAAAAATTAAGGTAGTGTGGTGGAGAAGAAAGAGCAGGGATACTCTTTTGTATATAATAGCAGGAGCTGTTATATCATGTTTTACAATTAAATTCAACAACATGATTTAGAGATCTCTCTGAATTAAGCTCCTTTTGACTCTCAGCACGCAAATGAAAACTTTTGTGCTCTTCCTCAACTGCGTACATTTGTAAATCAAGTGACAACTATTAGAGAGAATACTCGCAACAGTAGCAAATCAGACAAAACTAGAAGAGATAATGTAGATTTATATTTATTTCATTCTTGTCTAAAGAGCTTCCTCCTAAGGGTCTGTTTTAGTTGTGATCTCTATTACAGTCTGTTGGCAATCCTGTATTGACCCCTCCTGAAAGCTGATAATAAAACCAGAAAACCTCTAAGATGAACTTGTGATCAAAGCTTTGAAACACAGAACTACACATCAAGACTAGTCACATCTTCTATTGTGACAGGTCAAAGGGTCAAAGTCTTTTGGCAGGACACTATTCTTTAGGCTACTTCTTCATCCTCTGGTTATTTGTCATTGAGCATAACCCATACATGTGTTATGTTTGACCAGTCTAGCACAACAAAAGACAGTGTCTCTAAGTTGCACATGTGGGTCTCCATCTTCAAAGGTACCCATACTTCTGTGTGGGGAAGGAATCTAGCAACTCATGGGAAGGCAATTAAGCTGGGTATACCACTTGACTGAAATTCTATCACATGCTCTAACTAGTTGTTACATCTCCATACCCTGGAGCAGACTGAGCACAACAGCATAACTCTTAGTAACTTGCTTTCTTTCTACCTCTCACGTTTGATTTACATGTTAGCATATGTTTGATTTATATGTTAGCACCAAAATCATGCTACAGTGTTTTCTGCTGCTGTTAAAGGTTAGAATCCAGAATATGTGATGTCTGGTAATGTCTAGCAGCTGCCAGCAGCTGGATGCCTGCACAGGAGCTCAATAACCCTGGTAAAGAAATTGGTATCGTCTTGCCTCATCTAAAGACAACGCCTTCAGGATCCCATTGAATTTTGTACCTCTGATTTGACAAAATCTTTTGACAGTCCCTCTGCCTTGTTTTTCTGAACAGCTGCCAACAAACAGGGTACTTCATTGTCTACAGTTAAGTTAATTCTTAAAGTAAATGACTAGGTAATATGCTTGTGAGACCATTCAGAAACAATTACTTCACATCCCAAAATCATTTGCATCTTGTTTCTCTTTTGAGCAATTTAAACCATCACCCCCCTTCATATTACTAACTTATGTACCAATGAGAGAATATTGAAAATGTTTTAACATGTCAAAGTTATATAACGAAGTAAAAACAAAACAACAACCCAAATTAAGTCTTAATCTTGAGCTGCCAGAAGTTTCATTACTTGTCAGTGTTTCTATACATTACTGCTGTCAATCTATTTTATTCCTCTAATCAGTCTAATAAATCTGAAATCTCCCTGGATGTGGTATTTTAGCCAACTGGCTTGAGAAGAATTAAACCCATACATTTCAAGTGACTCTATAAACAGTAACCAATAATTTAACTCTTTAGTATTAAGGAAAGAACATGCTGTACATACTAAGGCAAAATTCAAAAATACACCTGATGATAAAAGCTTACAATTATATTTCTTTATGAGTCATGCAGTTCAGTTTTTAAGCAGGCTTTTATCCAACTGCAGAATACCCAAATGCAGAATATCGAGGTGTCACCATGAACAGATACCAGTGTAGCCCTTTGTGCAGTAGTGACACAGGTCTTGATCTATTCAGACGTATGTACACATTTTGCTATATACAAGTTTTCCTGGAGACCGATGGCTTTTTTCTAAGTATTGTGAATATATTTCAAATTCTAATGAATTCACATCATATAAAATAGTGTACCTAAAAGAGGGATGCAAGTGCCTGGATGTCCTCTGTATTGACAGGAATGCTTGCTTGTATGCTAGAAATGTCTTTTCATGAGATGCTGTTGTCTTGGAAACCAACACTAAATATGAAAATTTAGTCTCTATAGGGCAAAAACCCACCATACTTTTTAGTATATCTCATAAGTTTCCTTATCTTTTCCTATCAAATCTGAAAAACAAAGACTGGCAGTTGGGTATTACTAACTCTTAATTCATACTTCCTATTCAGAAATTATACTTCATTTAAAGTTTTTCTATAAATAACAGCAAGCGGAGTTAGGAAATAAGATTTACATTCATTGCCTCATAGGTTTGAGAAAAAAAGCCAAATCAAAACAACAACAAAAAGCTTTACGGAAGCCAAAAGCTGTTTCCTGATTTTTGGGGAAACATTCTGTCCTTATATTGTGTTACTTTGGAGCACCTGATAGGTTTTTCATCACTCTTTCCTGAATAGTCTCCTAACAAGTGTTTCAGCATGTGCACAGAGTGTTGCAGTATTCTAAGAGATTTCCTTTCTTGCCTTCCCCTATCACAGTTACTGCTTTTTCTAGACTGATTCTAGATCTTTGCCCTGCATGTGGGAGAATGTATCAATAGAAACAACATAGCATCTACTCTAAACCAATATACAGAGGAAGAAAATGTACATGACAACAGCAAGATAAAGCAAAAGATGTCAGTCATCTCTATCTCAAGGCTGTGCCTGCTGAGATGTTGAAAATCCTCTAGGTAAGAGGGCCACTTAGCTTAGTTTTGTGAGAAGGAAACCCATTTTGTCACAGAGCATGACAGCTTTTTAAAATCTCATTTGTCTTTTACTTCAGTGAATTTATCAGAACACATTTATTTTAGCCTTAAACAAAGAGACTCTGCAATACCATTACTACAGCAATATTGAATGCAACAAATAAAACAGTACTTACTACAATTGCAGTTAAATTAGATGAGTTCCTCATTTTGGCCTAAATCACTTTTCAAAATGAAAGTACTTATGGAGAAATTACTTAATGCTAGTTTACCATCTCTATTAGCATTCTGTCACTTGGTCCTACCACAGAAACATATGTAGGTCTCTCTGAAAGTAATACCTCCTATTTATTTCCATAGAAGCTACAGCAGATAAAAAGAGCACAGTTTGATAGAACAAATTCTCAGCTACAAAACACTCTTTTTCCACACAGTCACCATCACTAGCTATGCATTCATTTTTCTCTATGATGAACAAGGGCTTGTATGTTGTGTTTATCAAAATCTGCACCAGTGGAGGTGACCAACTGTCTCCCTTGCCACTGCTGAAATGCACCACCCACTGCCTCCATGTGCTCACATTCGCTGTTTGGTCTCCATAAATGTTCAGCAAGTATAGATGAATGTCAGTGGGTGCCATTTTTTCTGCATGGAGGAATTCAGTAACACACCTTTGCTTCTGTCAGACTGCCCCTCTGCATGACAACAGAATGTAACAGAATTTTGGTGGAAAGGTTCAACCTCTACAGTCATACCACCAATATCTGCCTCTGACATTGTGGGTTAGCATCATACAATAGGAGGCATTACTTTTGGAGCAGCCGTGTATAAGGTCAGTGCACTTGGCTCTGAAATCATTTTAGTTCTACTGATAGAAATTAAAGTTACTTGAAATCAGTTTACTAAGATTCTCAATGTTGTGGTGATAATCACAAGAGGAATGTTGTTGAATATTTTGCTGTGATGAAAAAGTGCTGCATCTGAGCTTGAAATTTTACTGGCATCAATGTGATCCTTTCCCTATCTGCTTCATACTGAAGATGAAATCAACTTTGAACAAGCTTCTCCAGATTTTACTTCACTGAAGAAAAAAATCCAACCAATCAACCAACCAACCAGCCAATCAACCAACAAACCCAGAAATATTCACTGTTAGAAAAACAAATTTCTTTGTACTGCATGATGAATTTGTAAGTATTAATGAGATGAGACTTAAACCTTGACAAAAAGGTCCTACATACTCCAATAGAAGATAAAATAAATTATAATAAAATTAAATTTAAGATGCAAGACTTCCATCAGATGAAGCAGTGAGAGGTCCTCCTCCCCTTTTGTATGTGCATATCTTTGTAACTGAAGATAAATGAACAAAGTCAGCCAATTCAATCCATTATTCCTAGGGCATAGATAAATCTGAAACAAAAGGGGCACAAGGCAACAGACTGTTCAAAATAGATAAGACAAACTTACGCTTGTTGTGTAAGCAGCTTCAGGATCATCCTCCAACACCCGTGACAAACCAAAGTCAGAGACTTTACACATGAGGTTGCCGTTGACCAAAATGTTACGGGCTGCCAGATCACGGTGTACATAGCCCATGTCTGAGAGGTACTTCATGCCAGATGCAATTCCCCGCAGCATGCCCACCAGCTGGATGACTGTGAAGTGGCCATCGTGTTTCTGCAAGTAAAGATGCAAGTTCAAGTTACATATCTAATTTTCATGAACTTTGTACTAGTGACATTAGATGGAGATTGTATTTAAGATGTATTTGTAGCCCTGCCAGCCAACCCAACCAACGCTGACATGTTTTTTCATTTAACTTCCTCAGCAGCACAAGCAATCCCATCTCTCCTTGTGCAGCTTACCCCCTGCTTTTATTTTTTTTTAACATTTCCACACTCTGCATTATCATTCCAATGACCACACCTAATGTATTTTACCCTCAGTTACTACTTTCCCCTACTTTTTAAAGCAAGAATGAAAATGCACAGAAAAATCTGTTCTGCACATAATGCCGTATAACCTCTGCACACTAAGGAAAAGGAAGGTGGGATGAAATTCACAGAGTAATGCATGGTTTCTCCAGTCTTCCTAGCTGACTGAGAATTCACTTAAGCCCAGACCCATCAAAGTATTAGCCTCTTTAATTCCTGCTGGAATCTATTGGTGTTGAACTTCAAAATATGAATTATGTCATTAATTGCACCAGTCTATGTGATTAGTCTTGGTGGGCCTTACTTTTCCATCACCAAAATGAAAATTAGTGCTTCTGTACATCCTAAATCAGAGAAGTCTGCTCTATCTATCCTATATAAGGCAGACTGCTGACAGCAGTATTTTTGTGACCTCAGCTAACAGACATTTAGCTTCTCATGGATTATTCAGTAAGCCAAGCTTTTATGTTAGCAAGAAGAGCCAAACAAAAACAAACAACTCTTCCCTGCAAGCAAGTTAACTTTCCATTTTCTCTTTTAACACTTTCAGCATCAGGCTACATACAATTAGCACTCAGGACATTTCTATTGCTTAGTTCATAAGCAACGAGGGCTATTTAGTCTGGGGAAAAGGAGGATGAGGGGAGACCTTTATTGCTC